GTACTACTGTTTCATGAGAAACTATTTGTTCTGTAAGCCTTCACCTGAAGTACAATAAAATACAAAAAAAATAAAAATAAAAATAAAAGGAAGCAAAAGAAAAGTGGAGAGTGGGTGTCGCTCATGCCTGTGTGTGTAATGACACTGCTGACACTACTGTAGTCTCACTGCAGATAGAGACCTATAAGTCTAGAATAAACCTCAAAACTTACTCAGGAGAAAATGAAAAGACAAGCCATCAACTGGAAGAAAATATTCCTGACATCTAATGCTGGCGAGGATGTACAACAAGTAGAACTCTCATACATCGCTGATGGGGATGCAAAATGGTACAGTCACTCTGTAAAGGGTTTGGCAGTTTCTTATAAAGTTACTTACCATACAACCCAGCAATCCTACTCCTGGGCACTTAAGCAAGAAAAATGAAGACCTATGTACACACACACACACAAACTGTATGCTGATGTTTACAGCAGCTCTATTTGTAATTGCCAAAAATTGGAAACCACCCAAATGTCCATCAAGAGGAAAATGTAGTACATCTACACAATGAAATACTAATACTCAAAAGGATTATGCTAAGTGAAAGAAGTACACACTGTATGGCTGCGTTTCTATAACACTGCAAAACTATAAGGACAGAAAATAGATCAGTTGTTATCAGGGTCTGGAGATAGAAGGATTGATCACAACAAGGAACAAGGGAACATATTGGGGTGATGAAAACTATTCAGGGGGGAAAAAGTATGCTGGAGAAACAGTAATCTCCCTATTTGCCAAGGAAACGCACACCCACCCATCCTCATATATGAATGAGCAACAAAGAATCACAAGACATGTGAGTAAAATATCTAGAGCAATGAAGAGAATTACTACCAGAAATGACTGAATAAACACAGCAAACACAGGAACCAGAAGAAAAATTTTAATATGTATTCTTAAGGAGATTCTAACAGACTTAAAAAAAAAAAAAACTCTTCAGGAAAAGAGGGCAAGCCACAACACAGCTAGGATGGATACAAAAGACACCCTACAAAAGCACAGCCTGCTAGCTTGGACCTCTAGTTTTACATTCTGGAGGAGACTAGAGGGCCACTGGAGATCTAGATCTACAAAGCCCTGGGAAAGGGTTGAGCAAAACTGGAAATACCCGTGTCTGTGCTAAGTGAAAAGCAAAGAAGCTGCTCTCAGAAATAAAGATAAATTCTTCAACCTCAGTCCAAAGATGAGAAGAAGTAAAGACATTTACCATTCACGTGCACAATTCTACACACAGTTCTCTAGAGAGCCACAGGAAACAACACTTTATGCAGATGACCAGCACAGCATGGCACTAGAGGGCACTGGAGCACAGCATTCTAAGCCTTCAGTCAAACGTCCAAAACCTTCATCTCTCCAAAAAACCATTTGCCGTCAAGCTGATTCTGACCCACAGCGACCCTATAGGACAGAATAGAACTGCCCTATATGGTTTTCAAGGAGCGGCTGGTGGATTCAAACTGCTCACCTTTCGGTTAGTAGCCGAATGCATAATCACTGCGCCACCAGAAATACGAATAAATATGCTGTTTGCCACCAAACTACTGTCTCTTGCCTTCAAAAGGAGGAGCCTTGGTGTAGCAGTGGTTAAGCACTCGGCTGCTAACCGAAAGGTCAGCGGTTTGAACCCACCAGCCGCTCCACAGAAGAAAGATGTGGCAGTCTGCTTCCATGAAGATTTACAGCCTTGGAAACTCTATGGGGCAGTTCTACTCTGTCCTACAGGGTCACTATGAGTCAGAACTGACTCGATGGCAGTGATGGGTGGCCTTCAAAAGAGCTGATGGAAACAGGAGTAAATCACTCTCTGAGGCAAAAAATCAAAACACAGAGGCAGTGATCAATAAATACTTTGCTGTACTTGGTCCGTTCTTTACAGTTTCTAAGGCAGTTGGGCAACTATCACCCCAGCTCTCAGAACAATCAATCTCCCATTTACAGATGCAAAATTAGGTCACACAGAATTAAATGACACAACCAAGGTCACAGTTAATAAAGAAGCTGAGAAGTACAAAGTCAGGAGTTTCCTCCCTCATTTCCTGATCCAAATAAGGTGAATTTGGGAGATGTCATAAACTTAAGAATGCAAACAGAAATCTGTACACCAATGTCCATTGTAGCACAATCCACAATAGCCAAAAGGTGAAACAACCTAAATGTCTATCAACAGATGAATGGATAAATACAATGTGGTACATACATACAATGGAATACTACTCAGGTATAAAGGGAAATGAAGTTCTGATACATGCTACAACATGAATGAACCTAGAAAACATTTGCTAAGTGAAATTAAGTCAGTCACAAAATGACAAATACTGTATGATCCTACTTATATGAAATAGGCAAATGTATAGAGACCAAGTATCACCCATTTAAAGAATATAATGCAGTGGTTTTTGATGTGAATTATATCTCAATAAAGAAAAAAAAACTATCATCAAGTCAGTACGTGCAGCAAAAAAAAGTTTTAATTTCTTTACTAAGCTTTATTGATCATGACCCAGTACTTGATGGATGTTAACTGGTATTTATTGACCACTCACAGTATGCTTTCAACTGTGGAAAGTGATTTGTGTGTTTTGGGGGGGCTCTCTGTAGATGACTTTATTCAAACAGTCAGTGCCCAGCAGGAATTTCATTCATTTAACAATATTTATTGAGCACCAATTATCCACACTGAACTGTGCTAGATTATGAGACTAAAACTTTGAATAGACACAGGGCTGAGGACATCACAACATTGACAGTTTTGTTACAGTACAAGCTAACTGCAAGTTGCAAGGAGTATTACATATGGCAAAAGCAGACACAGGAAAGAGACAGAGACAGTCTTGTTCCTCGACTGACTGAGCTGTAGCAGAATTGTGCTTTACTTTCTTGGGACAGAGGGGTCCTGAGAAGAAGGCGACAAAACAGACAGTGTTTCAAAGCCACCCCCATGGCTGCATCACTCTTTCTTCAGATTT